ACCAATTTGACAATAAACTTCATATATTGGAAAAAAATAAAAAAATAAAAATAAAAAAATTAAAAAAAAAAGAAAACAGAGACTCACTTGAAAGTTCATTAATAGCGGATAATGAATCACTAAACACCGGTACCATGGCTTACCACATGGCCACTAATATAATTGAAGTGAATCTTTAGCTCTCACGTGGATATCCACATTATATTAAGTAAAAAAATACTCATAAAATGCTATAAATGGTATAACTTTATTTATGTGGACAACTAAAACAGAAAACAAAAACCCAACCTAACAATTCCTTAGTAAATATGAACAGAAAATGACTTTCCAACAAAGATTGAAAGGCCAAAAGCCATAAAAAATGGAAACATTTGACTATATTAAAATAAAAACTTAGGGGCGCCTGGGTGGCGCAGTCGGTTAAGCGTCCGACTTCAGCCAGGTCACGATCTCGCGGTCCGCGAGTTCGAGCCCCGCGTCAGGCTCTGGGCTGATGGCTCGGAGCCTGGAGCCTGTTTCCGATTCTGTGTCTCCCTCTCTCTCTGCCCCTCCCCCGTTCATGCTCTGTCTCTGTCTGTCCCATAAATAAAATAAAAACGTTGAAGAAAAAAAAAATTTTTTAAATAAAAACTTAAAAGAAGTTTAATTTAATAAATTTAAATTTAATAAAGTTAAATTTAATAAAAATTAAAATGTGCACATGGCAAAAACAACACGCCATTAGCCCAATCAAAATATAAATGATTAAGAAAAGAATTTTTTTTTCAACTCATATTAGAGACCAAGGGCTAATCTCCCTAAGAGATTATAGGAGAAATCAATAGGAAGACTAATAATAGACAAATGGGTAAATAATGACAATTCACAGAAGATTAGTGGCTCTAAGATACATGAAAAGATATTCACCCTAAAATAAGATAAAAGCAAAATAAGACAAAAGCAAATAAAGCATATTGAGATATTATTTTTTACTTCTCAGATTACAAAAATCTGATTAACATTCTATTGATGAGACCATAGAGAAAGAGGCCCTTCCATCAGGTGCTGTGGGAGTATATTTGTACAGCCCTCTACAGAAGGCAGTTTGGAAATGTTTATAAAAATTACAAATGCATATGCCTCAGCAAATGTATCCTACAAATATACTTAACCATGTACAAGTTACATATCTACAAAAATTGCAGCACTACTTGCAAAATTTTGGAGATAACCTAAATATCCAAAAAGGAACGATCACAAAATTATGATATACTTATACAATGGAATATTATGTAGCTATAACAAAAAATGAGGAAACTCCCTTATGTACTGCTATAAAAAATTTTCTAAACTGGATTCAGTGAAAAAAATGCAAAATGCAGAACAGTGAATCCCATCTTTTGTGACAAAGGGAGGATAACATATGTTTGTTGTCGCTTCTAAGTATATTTTAAAAATTTGAAAATTCTATAAGAAACAATGTACCAGTTGTCTGTCGGGGGGCCAGGGAAGAGGATGGGAAAAGGCTGTCAAGTTTTTTATAACACATAATGCTTAGTTTTGGTCCATGTGATAACTTCTAGTTGATTCTATTTAATTTTGTCATGTCATATCAAATGATACAGCCCACTCATAGGTTACAGCCCATAATTTGAAAGCTAGAAGTTCCAGTCCACTTGCCCATGGTGTGGCAGCTACCCAGGTCAATTTGCTATGATTGGGCTTCATTTTCAATCCCGATGATCCAAGCAAAGATGTCTTCATGGACTCATCTGGTCTCACCTTGTGTAGAAACCATACATGTGTGCCCTTCCCTGAGCAAAACCCCACTTCA